AGAGAAACATGTATCTTGCTGGCAGCTTCTTCTCTTTGCCAGTTAACAAAAACCTGTCCCAAGGTTTGACTACCTTTGTGCCTTTGATGGTTGGGGCACAATGGCAGTAACACAGGGAGGAAATAAGCAAAAATTAATCTTCCCAAGTGACCGTGCCACTGCTGCAGCAGATAGGACAGTGCCTTGGTAAGTAGGACACCTGGGCACCAGTTGCTGATATGGGTAAATATCTTCACTGGTAAAATTATTTAGAGGGAGCATGGCAGGGTGAAGATGGGAGATTCCACCCATTTTTCAAAGTAGGTATAGATTCCTCTACTGATTCTGCAGCAAAATGTCCTCATCAGACCCATTCCCTACAAGGATAGTGTGCTTGGGAGGCCCAGAGGAACGGGGGTAGTAAGTGTTGTGTCAGGTGCAACCTGGGAGTTTCCAACCTGCCTCTGTGATCATACCGAGCTAAGAAATAGCAGAGGAAACAGAAAGTCATGTTTTATGAGCTCTGAACTGGGCTTCCCCCAAGTCCTGTTGGCTAGAACTGAGTCCTAAATCAATTACCAGCAAAGGGAAAATTATCACACTTGGTTTATAGGAATCATGAGTCACCTTCTGCAGGTAGATCTACAAACTATAGAATTCAGGGGTCTCTGGACTTGTACTGGAAAATATGACAACTTTATTTTTAGTTACTTCTATTTCTTAAGTTATGAATAAAGGTAGCAACCTGCCATCACATTAGCAGTGCCAATAGAAATCACAGAGCTTTTCTCATCCACGATTAGTGTGCTTCAGATATCCGGAAATGTCATTTACACTCATGTCTATTTCAATTTACAGTAGTTTAAGGGGCCCCTCCTAGATCTTATTTAATATGTTAATAAAGAACCCATGTGGCTCAGCGCCTATAGCCCAACCGGCTAAGGCGCCAGCCACGTACACCTAAGGTGGCGGGTTCGAATCCCCAGCCCGGACCCGCCAAACAACAATGACGAATTCTTCAAACTTCCCACCAGTCCCTCAATTAAA